ATTATGTTTAGTACACATGGTGTGGGGATCACGGGGAGAACAGTGTAGCACAGAGAAGGCACATAGTGGATCTCTGGCAACTTGCTGCACTGATGGACAGTGACTGCATTGGGGTGTGGGGGGAACTTGATAATATGAGTAAATGTAGTAACCACATTGTTTTTTCATGTGAAACCTTCATAAGAGTGTGTATCAATCATACCTTAATAAAAAAATTAAACTAAAAAAAGAAAATGAAAAGTGCTACTCCAGCAAACATACAAATGATAAGAAAGAGAAAGAGCCTTACTGCTGATAGGAAGAACAGTTGAGTGGTCTGGATGGATGGTCACACCAGCCACATTCCCTTAAACCAAAGCTTAATCCATATCAAGGCTTTAACTCTCCTCAGCTCTGTGGAAGCCAAGGGATATGAGGACGCTGCATAAGAAAAGTTTGAAGTTAGCAGAGGTTGGTACATGAGGTGTGAGAGAGACGCCATCTCCATAATGCAACAAAGTGCCGGTGAAGCAGCAAGTGCTGGTGTAGAGGCTGCAGCAAGTCACCCAGGAGATCTGGCTAAAAGAATTCATGAAAGTGTCTACATTAAACAACAGATTTTCAGTGTACACAAAACAGCCTTATCTTGAAAGAAGGTGGCATTGAGGACTCCGATAACTAGAGATGTCAATGCCTTTAAAACTTTAAAACTTAAAAGGACAGGCCAACTCTCCTGTTAGGGGCCAGTGCAGCTGGTGACTTTTAAGTTGAAGCCAGTGCTCATTTGCCATTCTGAAAATTCTAGAACCTTTAAGAATTATGTTTAATCTACTCTGCCTGTGCTCTGTAAGTGGAACATCAAACCTGGATGACAGCACATCTGTTAATATGATTTACTGAATATTTTAAAGACTCAGAAAACTAAGATTCTTTTCAAATTATTACTGCTTGCTGACAATGCACTTGGTCTCCCCAGGGCTCTGAGGGAGCGGCTGGACGTTGAGATTAATGTTGTTTTCCTGGCTCCTAACACAACATCCGTTCTGCAGCTCATAGATCAAGGAGTCATTTAGACTTTCAAGCCTTACTATTTAAGAAGTACATTTTGTAAGGCTATAGCTGCCCATTCCTTTGATGGATCTGGGCAAAGTCACTTGAAAACCTTGTAGCAAGAATTCATCATTCTAGATGCCATTAAGAACATTTGTGATTAATGGGAGAAGGTTAAAATAGCAACATTAACAGGAGTTCAGAAGTTGATTCCAACCTTCATGGATGACTTGGAGGAGTTCAAGACTTCATTGGAGGAAATAACTGCAGATGTGGTGGAAATACGAGAACTAGAATTAGAAGTGGAACTTGAAGGTGACTGAACTGCTGTAATCTCATGATAAAACTTGAATGTGGAGGAGTTACTTCTTATGGATAAACAAAGAAAGTAATATTTTGAGATGGCATCCACTCCTGGTGAAGGTGCTGTTAAGAATGTTAAAATGACAAAAAAAGGGCCTTGGAATATTACATAAACTTACTTGGTAAAGCAGTGGCATGGTTTGAGAGGACTGACTGCAGTTTTGAAAGAAGCCTATGCTACAGAAAAATGTTGATGAAAAGAAGAGTCAATTCATGCAGCAAACATCATTGTTGTCCTATTTTAAGAAATTGCCACAACCACCCCAACCTTCAGCAACCGCCACCCTGGTCAGTCAGCAGCCGTCAAGGCAAGACACTCCCCCAGCAAAAAGATTATGATTCATGATGGTTAGTGTTTTTCAGTCATAAAGTATTTTTTAATTAGGGGTCGTACATTATCTTTTTAGACATACTGCTGTTGCATATTTAATAGACTATATAGTATAGTATAAACGTGAGCTCCATATGCAGCGGGAAATAAGAAAGTTTACTGCACTTGCTTTGTTGGGATACTCACTTTGTTGAGGTGGCCTGGAATCGAACCCCCAGTGTCTCCAAGGTATGCCGGTATTCCAGCTTAGAAATACATTGTGGTATTTTAGTCTTCCTTTAATCTTCACTGCCTTATTATAAGTTAACGTGGTGCAGGTAATTAAAGATTTATTTCAGCGAGTTTTTATTATGAAGGTATCATTGATATACACTGTTATGAAGGTTTCACATGAAAAACGTAGTTACTACATTCACCCATATTATCAAGTCCCCCCATACTGCATTGAAGTCACTGTCCATCGGTGTAGTAAGATGCCACAGTCACTACTTGTCTTCTCTGTGCTACACTGTCTTCTGTGGGGTTTCTTCTTAAAATTTAACAGTAAAAATAGTGATTTCTTCTGGAATTGTGGAATCAAGAATTCAAACTGTTTGTTTTGTTACTAGGTGCTGGAGGAACACCCCTGCTCACAAAGCTGCCATCTCTTCCTCTGGAGCCAGAGCCCACTGAGCAAGCATGTCCACCAGACGCATCAGCACAAATAAGAGAAAAATAGGAGTAGGATGACCCCACCATAGGGGTTTTTCTTTGACAAGGGTGTATGAGATTAGGAAAGGTCACATGACACAGGCAGTTTGGAGACCAGCATGTTCCCTGGGCACCGCAGAATGCAGATTTGTTATGATGAGAGCCTGAGGCTTAGTTTCAAATTCCCCCACTGGCCTTGTAATCCGGGAAATAGAAGATAGCCCAGAAAGATCCTTTTAAGAATCGAGAGCAAGGCTCATGGCTCTGTATGGAGCTCCCAGACCCAGCAGGGCATGCGACACTTGTTTGCTGTGGAAAGGACCTCTGTGTCCTGGCAGACGAATGCCCTTCCTTTGTGGAAGGCAAGGCTGAGATGGGCCTCTGCTAAAGAGCCCTGCCATGGCTGAGCGGTGGTTTGGCCGAGGTGCTCATCTGGCTGTGGGGGTGTCAGCCCCCAAGGCAAACACAAATCTGGGATTGGTAATCCCGTTCTAATACTTTAAAAGAAAAAACATGATGAAAAACTCTATAAAATGAAGCCCAGCCTGTTGAGTATCCCAGCGCACTTGCCCAAGGGAATCCAGAACTAGTCCCTGAGTCTTGTCCCTGGGTGAGGTCGGTGCACAGCCAGATCAGGGCCACGGGAAGAAGTAGGAACGAAGGGCGGGTCTGGGGTCAGCACCAAGCATTCAAAGGAACGGGAGAGCTGCTTGGCCGAGGGAAGTCAAGGCTATCAGGGACACCACCGACCAGATGCCGTCGATGCCTCAGAATGAAGATCATGTATCGGCATCCCTTTGGGGAAAGTTATTCTTTGGGTGTAAAAACAAGATATCACAATAAAAACTTTTTAAAAGAACCTATGATAATAGTCTTTCCTCACCTATTTCCAAGCCTAGTTTGGAACTGGAGAAGGAACCTCCAGGCCTCCTGCCTGGTGCCAGCACAGCCTCTACTGCACCGCTTGATGTGTAGCGGGCCAGCAATCTGCTTGAGGGCCGGTCCTCATTTCGCACTCAGAGTACCTTTCATCACTGTAATTTGATGGTGGAGGACCTACCTATCACCAAGCCAAACTGTTTGGAATTCTTTTAACTGGATCTGTCCTGACAGGGAAGGAGCAGTTAACTCTTTGATTCTCCTATCTTAGAAATAAACAGCAAGGTGTCAGAGGCAGTGCATTTGTCCGTGCAGCTGGAATGTGTCAGAACTGGCATTTGGACTGAGCGACTGAGAAAGCTCTTCTTTTCAGTGTGGAGTCTCCTGTGCCTGTGATGGAAAAGGTCTTGGTGAGAAATGACGAGAATGTAATGGAGAAGAGGGGTTAGTGTGAGGGAGATTTGGGTGGGTAAAATAAACAAATTGGGTCTGATCGGATGTGGCAGATAACAGACAGTAGGATGAGCACCCGAATCAGAGAAGAGGGTCACTGGGGAACTGGCTGAGGGCTGTGAAGTCTAGCTCTGGACACGCCCATCTTTGAGACATCCGAACGAGACCCATGACAGACTCGAATAGCTGGAGTTCGGGTGTGCAATCTGACTTGAAGATAAAGATTCAGGAGTAATTTGGATTTGGGTGACAGGTGAAACCACAGATTGAAAGGAGTCACCAGAGGAAAGCTAGGAGTAAGACAGGAGACCAAAAATGGAAAACCCATGTTTACAGGGAGAAGCGGAAGAGCCCACAAAGGAGACAGAAGAAGCAAGGAATATAAGGAAGAAAATGGAGAGTGGTGGGGAAGAAAAGGCTCCAGAAGGGACTGGTCAGCCTCACTGACAGACACCGCTGTCCCCGTTTTATAAAGGCGGAAGCTGAGGCTGGGAGAGGCAAAATGAATTTTCCCAGGTAAGTGGACGGGATCAGAATCTGAACGCGGGTCTGGTTGCAGAGCACCTGCTCTTAGCCGTCAACCACCAAGCAGTGACGCACCTTTGAGGAAGTAGCAAGAGACCCAAGGGCTTGAAGACTGAGGAAGTGAAACTGGCCTGCTTTTACTTCAAGGTAAAGGGAAGAGAGGTTTTTAAAGGGCAGATTGAATTCATTACTCTGATCTGAGAAACTTTTAGCATTTGGGCAAAGAAAGTAAAATGGTCTCTTCCCTTTATGTGCATATGGTGAAAATGGAGAGAATCAAAGAGCAGGACTCTTCAGTTTTTCCATACTCCTTGGGGCAGGAACACAATGGTACCTTGCATTCCAGGGATAGCAGTCAAGAAGCAATGTTTTCCAATTAATCTGAGCTTAGATATTAAAGAATAAAGAGAGTGTATTTGCTCAGTCTCTGGGGCATGTGAATGTTCCATATTTCACTCAGGTGAGAAAGGGTCTGTTCTAATTTCTTGTATGGGAGTTGCTCATGTCATCACGATAAACTTTTAAACAGAATTAGGAGAATGAGGCCAAGTACACAGATGCAGCAGATATGGCTTTTGATGGCAGGAACTAGAGGCAGGAAAGTGGAAGTATGAACCAGCAATGGGAAAAGCCCCCTTCTTACTGAAAAGTATTAGAACAAAACTGTGTTCCAAAGCAGTAACACTTTGTGTGATTATAATGATCATTTTCTTCTTAAAGAAGAAACATTGATAATGGCAGAGTAGCTTATGTTGGACCAGTCCTCCCCTAGACAATAAATATAAACAACTGAGTAAATATAAAACACAACCTTGGTTTAATTTTTAAGAAATACCTGTCCCTGTTCCATGCAAAAAAAAAAAAAAAAAGAACCTAGATTGTGAGGTTTAACATACAAATGTAACTGAAGGACAAGAGGGCATATGGAAACCTACAGTTAAAGGTTTTATATTTTAGTATAAAACCAAAGAGGAGTTTGTGAAAAGTTAACCATGCATATTCTATTTCTAGAGCAACCATTAAAAAGATGGAAAGTATAGCTGAAAAGACAGTAGAGCAACTAAAATATAATTAAAAATGGAAGTTCATAATCCTCTCCTGAAAAGAGGGCAGGAAAGGAAGAAAAACAGAAGAAACAAAGGGAAAATAAATAACAAAATGTTAAATGTAAATCCAATCATATACGTAATTACATTAAAATGTAATTGGACTATATATACCGAATTAAAAAGCAGGAGAAGATTAAAAAATTAAAGCCTAGTTATCAGCCATTGAAAGTAAAAGGATGGGAAAAGATCTGCCATGCAAACTACAGGCACAGGAAGTTGAGTGCTGTACTAATGTCAGCTAAAACAGGTCTCAACATGCAGAGTATGACCAGATATAGAAAGGAATTTCATAATGATAGGGTCAGTTCATTCAGTTCAATGGAAAAAAAAGTAACACACACACCTAACGACACTACAAATATATTAAGTAAAAATGGAGAGAATTAAATCCACCTAGTTGGATGTTAGCACTTCCTCTTTCAGAAATTGATAGAATTAGCAAGTATAAAAGGACATTCCACCACCTTATGCATTTAGAGAACACTACAACCAGTAACTGCAGAGAAAACATCCTTTGCAAGTGGACATAGTACAGACAGACCACATGCTGGGACACAAAATAGTTCTCAAAACATTGAACTTTACAGAATATATTCTCTGACCACAATCAAATTATATCTGAAATTAATAACTACCTAAAAAACCTAAATATTTGGAAATTAAACACATACTTGTAATAACTCATAAGTCAAGGAAGAAATCAATATTCTGAATTGAATGGTAATGAAAATAAGAATTTGTAGGATTCAGCTAAAAATGCTTACAGTGGAACTTAGAGCTACCATGTGTTTCTTTTAGAGAACAGAAGGTAGGAAATTAGGAAATAAATGATACAGGTTCCCACCTTAAGCTAGAGAAAGAAGATAAAAATAAACCCAAATTAAGTGGGAGGAAAGAACAAATACTTCAAAAATCTAAAAGCCAAAGTAACATGGGAAAAGAAATGGACAAATCCCCAGTTAACTGATGAAGGAAAAAACACAAGACAAATTACCAATATGAGGAATGAAGGAGGGGATTGCTTTAGGGATCCTCCAGACATGAAAAAACATAAAGGAACATGATGAAAAATCTTACAATAAAACTAACAACTTAAGCTAACAGACAATCTTTGAAAAACAGAGTACCAAAACTGAAACAAGATGAAATGTAAGCCCTTAGTAAACCCTATGTATTTAAAAGACTGAATTTTGAAATCAAAAGCTACCCGTAAGTGGACTGTCAGGATTAAAGATGGCAGAATAGGAAGGTAAGATAGAAACCTCATCCCAAAAACATATGAAAGAGGAAAATACAGAGAGAAGAAAAGATGTCTGCATGACAGGTGAGACAGAAACCTCCTTCCAAAACCACACATAACATGCAAATACAACTAATCCTGAAAAAGTGACTGGAAAGAAAACTGAGAGACCGCCTACATCTGGGGAAAAGAGAAGACCTCATGGAACAGGGGAAAGTAGCAAAGCTGCGATCAAGCGAGACCCACGCCCTCCCCTCACACCAGCTCAAACGCCGGAGGAAGAGAAACGGAGCAGCAGGGAGTAGAGCCCAGGACTGCGGAACACCCAGCTCTGGAGACCTCCGGGAGCACGAACCCACATTGCATGGTGCTCTGGAGATGAGGGGTTGGAAAGCAAAGAGGCAGAATACCTGGAGAGGCTGAGATTCCAGCCACTTGTGGAGAACAGAAACCCACAACTGGCTGCTCCAGGACGAAAGAAAGGTGGGCTCTTAGAAGACTTCCTAGCAGCAAGAGGGGCACTAAAGGGGAAAGGATTACAGAGCTTGCTGCTCAGGAGAAAGGCAGGTAGACAAAATCATCCTGGCACACTCAGCCCAACAGGTTGGGAAATTTCAGGAGCTTCAGGCAATACACCACCCTGGCTGGCAACACAGCGCCAAGGACCCCCACTGCAATGTGCAGCATGCTGCTCCTTCCTACCAACTGGCACCAGTTCACAAACCTGCTGCCCCTGCCATAGTGTGAAGCCAACCAGAGGGTGGCACCGCCTCGGGCAGCTACAAGGGCATAACACAAGAGGCTCCTCCAAACATGCTCAGCCCACTGGCCCTGGCAGTGGAGACAGGCACTCCAATCGGGAAGCAGGAAAGAGATCTTTCCTTCCGCAGGCACTGGAGCCACCTACACACTTATTATTTCATAGTAATCATTAGAAATATGAAATGGCAAAAGAATCTGGTAAAAACCAAAATCCCTAAAAGACCAGAAAGAGGACTAAGTGAATCTGAAATCACCAATCTTCTTGATAAAGATTTCAACATAAAAATCATAAACATGCTCATGGCGCTACAGAAAAATAAGACCTCAGGGAGGACAATTTCAAGAAAGAGAAACTTTGAAAAACACAGTATCTGAAACGAAACAAAGAGGAGGGACTTAAATGCAGATTACATGAGGTAGACAAGATGGTAAATGAAATAGAAATTAGAGAACAGGAAATCAAAGAAACTGAGACATAGAGAGAAAAAAGGATCTCTAGGAATGAAAGAATATTAAAAGAACTGTGTGACCAATCCAAACAACAATATTTGCATTATAGGGGTACCAGAACAAGAAGAGAAAAAGGGGTAGAAAGTCTCTTTGAGGAAATAATTGCTGAAAACTTCCCCAATGTGGGGAAGAAAATAATCTCTTAGGCCATGGAAGTGCACAGACCTCCCAACAAGGAAGACAACACCAAGACATGTAATACTTAAAATGGCAAAGATCAAGGATAAGAACAGAGTATTAAAGGCAGCCAGAGAGAGAAATAAGGTCATACAAAGGATCATCAGACATCAGACTAGCTTCTGAAATTTCCCAACCTGTTGGGCTGAGTGTCGGGGTGATTTTATCCACCTGCCCTTCTCCTGAGTAGCAAGCGCTGTGTAATCCTCGCCAACATTTGTTGTTGTTTGTATTTTGGATGCTGGCCATCCTTACGGGTGTGAGGTGGTATCTCATTGTGGTTTTAATTTGCATTTCCCTGATGACTAGTGATGTGGAGCATCTTTTCATGTGTCTGTTGGCCATGTGAATTCCTTCTTTGGAGAACTGTTCAGCTCCTCTGCCCATTTTTTAATTGAATTATTTGCTTTTTGTTTGTTGAGGTGCGTTGAGCTCTTCATATATTTTGGATGTCAATCCTTTATTGGATCTGTCATTTATGAATATATTCTCCCATACTGTAGGGTACCTTTTTGTTTAATTGATGGTGTCCTTTGCTGTACAGAAGCTTTTCAGCTTGATATAGTCCCACTTGTTCATTTTTGCTTTTGTTTCCCTTGCCCGGGGAAATATGTTCATGAAGAAGTCGCTCACGTTTATGTCCAAGAGATTTTTGCCTATGTTTTTTTCTAAGACTTTTATGGTTTCATGACTTACATTCAGGTCTTTGATCCATTTCGAATTTACTTTTGTGTATGGGGTTAGACAGTGATCCAGTTTCATTCTCTTACATGTAGCTGTCCAGTTTTGCCAACACCAGCTGTTGAAGAGGCTGTCATTTCCCCCATTGTATGTCCATGGCTCCTTTATCGTATATTAATTGACCATATTAATGTCTGGACTCTCTATTCTGTTCCACTGGTCTGTGGGTCTGTTCTTGTGCCAGTACCAAATTGTCTTGATTACTGTGGCTTTGTAGTAGAGCTTGAAGTTGGGGAGTGAGATCCCTCCACTTTATTCTTCCTTCTCAGGATTGCTTTGGCTATTCGCGGTCTTTGGTGTTGTCATATGAATTTTTTAACTGTTTGTTCCAGTTCACTGAAGAATGCTGTTGGTAATTTGATAGGGATTGCATCAAATCTGTATTTTGCTTTGGGCAGGATGGCCATTTTGACAATATTAATTCTTCCTAACCAGGAGCATGGGATGAGTTTCCATTTGTTAGTGTCCTCTTTAATTTCTCTTAAGAGTATCTTGTAGTTTTCAGGGTATAGGTCTTTCACTTCCTTGGTTGTTTATTCCTAGGTATTTTATTCTTTTTGATGCAGTTGTGAATGGGATTGTTTTCCTGATTTCTCTATTAGTTCATTGTTAGTGTATAGGAAAGCCACAGATTTCTGTGTTAATTTTGTATCCTGCAACTTTGCTGAATTCGGATATTAGTTCTAGTAGTTTTGGAGTGGAGTCTTTAGGGTTTTTTATGTACAATATCATGTCACCTGCACATAGTGACAGTTTAACTTCTTCTTTACCAATCTGGGTTTGTTGTATTTCTTTGTTTTGTCTAATTGCAATAGCCAAGAAATGGAAGCAACCTAAGTGTCCAGGAGCTGCTTTGAGCTGGGCATGAAATGACCAACCCGGCCTAAGTGGCCTGCCACCAGCTGCTATGTCCGTGCTGCTCTTTGAGAAGGCTCACCACACTTTCAAAGTGCTGTCATTATGGCCTGGCTACTTGATACTAGCTATCTTTTGTCACTTTAAACCAGAGGACAGACCTATAGCTCAGGCTCAGTGTGAGGGACTACTTAACCTAGCGATGGGAAAGACAAGATAAACACCTCAAGAGCAGATACACATAATTTACAAGTTTTTCAGAATTGTAAAGATTTATGTGGTGGTAGAAACTGAATCAATTACAAATAGACTTCGGATTCCTGAAATGTAAATTGTTTTTAATATATTTAAAAGCACACAGAATTCTCCTTGATTTTATAAAAAAATAAATACATAACATGACAAATTTGTTGGTGATCCTGGGGCTTTTATGAGGTCAAACTCTTCGATGGATGTGTCAATGTAAAACGTAGATGACCTGTCATACACACAGAAGCATATTCCAGTTGTATAAGCACACCTTCCAATGATCAGAATGCACAAAAATCAATCTACTGCAGATGGCATGTCCAGAGCTGCATGATGAGGCTGGGCCCAGCCACGGGAGCCTCTGACTGGCTGGCCCTACAATCTAAGGCACCAAGGAAGGAATGGAATCAGGTTGGCTCACAATGCCACCCTGCAGGTCCTCCAGGCCAAAACCTGCAGGGAGTGACTCCCTCACAGGCTCCACAAGGCTCCTGGCCTCTGAGGGACTGAGCAGCACAGGGGGCACTCATTTGTCCTTACTGTGGCTCTGCCCTACGTCTGCAAATGGACGGCTCAGAAGGGATGCTCGCTGAATACTGACGGTAACACTGAACGGAGACCATGACCCTGCCCCATCGTGCTGAGTTGAGCGAGAATGTGAGAACTCGAGGGGCTTCCCAAGAGCCTGGGAGGGCAGGTGCGAGTGTGCACTTCTGAAGGGGTGAGGAGGGAAGGGCTTCCATCAGCTGACGTGCTCCCGGGGACCAAGGAGTTGGGCCTAAAATACTTGACAACATTGCTTAAGTCAGATTTGGGAATCAGGTTTTTACCCCGTAACATACAACATAAAAAAACAAAAACCCAGTCTCGTTAGTACATAGCTAAATTTTGATTAAAACCTGAAATGTCTGTTTAATTGAACAGGCTGGAATGTAGCTGATACAGTTGAATCTGCTGTTGTTTCTTTGGCTGTCTTTTATTTAGATCTAGAACTATTTGACACCCTCAAACTTATTTTCCAAATTCCTGTAGTTCTTCAGTTGGCTAGCTCTCCTTCCAGTTGGCCGTGACAACCTTGCTAAGAGTGAGGGTGTACTTCTGAGTAGAAGAGTCCTTCAGCTGAAATCGCATCTCCCAGGCCCACCGTTCGGACAGGATCTTTACAGACCAATACTGGTGTGAAGTGGAAGGATATTCCCTCCCTGTGCCATTCTACTACTGGCTCATTAGGGTCTAATACGATCCTGGAGCCTGCCTCCGAGTGGGAAGTCGAGAACTCACGCGGAGCCCTCAGAGACACTCGGCTGGCATCTACGGTCTCTGCTGCGCAGGCCTGCATCCCAGCCACGCGAGCTCCTGCAGCCACAGCTGCCAGCTGGTTGGCCCAGTGTCCTTCCACGGTTGCCAGGATGTGGTAGACCAGCGTGTGGAAATGGATCCTGGTGAGGTCCGAGGCCCTGCTTTTACTCTTCCCATGTTCCTTCAAGATCCAAAAGAGGATGTCACTGACCATGCCGACATCGGGAACACCGTCCCAGGAAGAGAGGGAAGCGTGAGGTCCAGACGCTGACTGGCTGAGAAAGAGCAGCTCCTGTTCGTTCAGCCCAAGAGAAGTCACCGCGGGAAAGACCTGCTAACAGAAACAAACAGCTCTCTTTCTGGTGGACATCTAGATCCTAAGGTAGCTTACCACACAGCTGATGACCACGCTCAGGGAAGGCAGGCAGCACAGCATCTTTCTTCCCCACCGTAGACTGCCTGCTTCCCAAGTCTGTGCTAGAGCAGGGACGGATCATGGGCCACTGTTTTGGCTATTAAACCTCTAACTATCTCCACCTTTATTATCACTTGGGATAAACTGGAAAGTCACAGTAACACTGTTTTAGACCCAGTCTTCTGTTATAGCTGTAAGACAAAGGGCACCGATGCATGCTCTGTATCTCTGTGGAGCCTAGCTTCTGCCTTTGCATGCACTGCCTCCTGCCACTACTGGAACATGACTCACTTCCTGAATGTCGGCAGGCAGTATACCAGTAAAATGGAGAAGGCCCTTGCAACACACAGTCAGTCTCATAATGGTTCCATGTATGAATAACAAGAAGCAGGGAGAATGGAGAACAGTTTTGTGTTAGGTCTAAGCTGTTTAAGCAGATGTGGGGTAGGAAGACTGTACTTAGGAAGAACATTGTGTGAAAAAGGTACCAAACAGGAGCTGCTGAGCCTGATTTCTACCTTAAGGGGAACCACCATGTCCACCTCTGTCTGTCTTAGTAACTTCACTTCTTAAAACCAGAGACCTGTATGTAAGGTGAAATGTTTGTGCAACAGATGAGCCCCTGTATGTCTGTAGGTAGGTAGGTAGGGGTGTGTGTGATTCAAAGATAAATGGCCTATTCCTTTGCTAATGTAGTAGCACTTCCATTACGGGGTGTTACAGGCCAGGCACTGAGCTAACGGCTTGATTTCATTCACTACTTGCTGTAACCCCCGAGGGAAGGAGGGACTGCTTCCATTTTACAGATAAGAGGACTGAGGCTCAGGAAGGTTAAGTAGACAGTTAAACAGAAAATGAAATAAAGGTGGCTTGTTTAAGAAAAAAAGTGAGAAGATAACCTCAAAAAGAGAAATACAAATAAAAACTATACTAAAAAACACCCAGAGTGAAGCCTGATGTTAAACCATGGGCTCTGGGTGATAAGGACGATTCAGTATTAGGCTCACGGCTATGACAAACGTAACAGCGCAGGAGGCTGTGGGTGGGCAGGCAAGCGGACACAGGAGCTCTCTTCATCTACTCATTTTTTGCTGTTAACCTAAAACTGCCTTAAAAAGTAGTTTATTTAAAAAAACTACTCTGAAATACCATTTTTCACCTGTTAGACTAGTAAGAATGCACCTTTGTAATCCCATTCTGGTGGCAAAGATATGAGGAAATAAGCACTTGTAAAGAATTCTAGAAGTAAACTGGTACAGTTCTCAGGGAGGGCAATTTGGCAATATCAGACTTAACAATACTTTTTATGCTCTAACTCAGCAATTCTACTTCTGAGAATTTATCATATATATGTACTTGCTCACAGGCAAAATGAAATCACATACAGAATCATTTGCTGCAGCATTGTAAGGGCCAAGGACAGTAAGCCAAGACGCCCGTCAGGAAGCTGCAGGGTGAACAGCCCGGGGCGCCCGAACCATGCGGCTTGAGAAGGCTGAGGATGCTCCCCACGTGCTGGCAGAGACGACCCCCAAATGCAGTCGGTGAGAAAAAGCAGAGTGCCAAACGATGCACTCAGTATGCTCTGCCGCCTTTTAGGGTAAAAGGGATGAAAAAATCAAGATATATTCCCATACTTGCTTACACACGCGCACACTAACTGCAGGGACACAGAGCAAAGTAAGGAGATTCCTCATGGTGGAACAGGTGGCAGGAGGGAGGCCTCATTGCGTAGCTTTTAACACTTGGGCATTTTGAGTCAGATGAATATACTGCCCATTAAAAAGGTCAAATAATAAATAAAATGGAAGGTTAAGTAACTTGCCTAAGTTCATGAAGCTCAGCAAGCAGCGAAGCTGGCACTCCCACCCAGGTTTCCAGCGACTGTGTTGCTGAGCATCATGCTCTTGGATCGATCTCATCACTGCCACTCCTGAAAGGCCTGGTGCTGAGGGAGTGAAGCTCCCCGTTTCTTTTCTCTGAGTTTCTGGAAGTTCAGCTGAAAGCAGCTGAGCCGGGCTTTCACAGTTCTCTCCTGTGAGCGCTACTCAAAAAACCATTCACTTCCAACTCCCCCAGTTCAGGAGAAACATGACCCATGAACCTACCACTTAAACTACCACATTTCTACCCTAGGAGGAGACCTTGTGCCACAGCAGACTTGGCTCCTTACTTGAATCTCCAGGGACCAGGGACATGACAACCACACCTCTGGCAGCTGGCCCGGGGACCCAAACAGCTGGTCCAACCAAAGGCACTTGCCGGCAAGCCCCATGGGGATCAGGACCCATGTGGGCCCCAAGGCTGTCCGTGTGGTTACCTGATGCACAATGCTGCGCATGAGCTCCCCATCGGTCATGCTGGCCAGCTCTAGGTGAACTGGGATGCCTGTGGGGATGTCGGAAATGGACGCCACAACCTGCAGAGAGAAGAGCACAGCACTTTAGAAAGAGAAGTCAGGCGAGAGGGGAGAAAGGATCAGGTCCTGAGAGGCAATGCCTCCTGTCACTGCCTCTGCATCCTCATGAAAGCTCCAAGCCATGTGGGCCACCATGGCCTCTGTGGATGTGGGATGCTTTTCCCAACAGGGACAACTAGGCTCTGCAGAGAGGCACTGGGGTTATACACAGAGAGCACAAGGAACCGCCCCTGTGTGTTCACGGAGCCAGCCTATTCCTGGGGACCTGAACGGAGCACTCGGCTTCAGCTGCGTGTGAGTCTGCGGGGACTGCAGTATGGCCGATGTGAACTGAGACAGTATGGAGGACACAGAGGACACAAACTACAAACACTGCAGCTTGCAGCACGTCTGATTCTGCAAACAGGATGCAGAGGCTCGCCAAGAAGATGTCCTAATCTGTCTTACTCAAGCTGCTGCCCGTGCCTGAGGTGCCTCACTGGAGCAGGAGGCAGGCTTCAGAGCTAGCTTCCATGAGGTGGTCCCAGGGAGGCCAGGGCCAAGGACAGGGCAGAAGCCGAGTGAGGCAGGGATCTGAAGGACGCCAGCTGAGATCTGTGAAGGTCTGTAATAGAGCTATTACCTCCAGGAGCCTCTTCCTCTGGAGCTCCTTGCTCTGTCCCTCCATCATGTGCAATCCGGAGAGGACCACCAGGTCTGGCTGAAACTCCTCCAGGCTAGACACAAACACCTCCAGCATATTCATTGCCCCGTTGGAGAGGTCGTGGGAGAAGATGAATCGGTTGGCATGGGGAGCTTTTAACCGGCCCCACTCCTCCCCTAGAAAGGCCCAGTCAACACAATGGGAAGAAAAGGAAGAGGCTTTAAGTCTCCTAGCTGTGGGGGGCCTGTAGGGACCTCACTGGAGCCCTGGCTCTGGGCAGGCTGGCTTCCCAATGAGCGGCCCTGGCTATGATGGCCTAAGGGAAGCATGGCTGCATCCGGGAGGATATGGTCGGTAAAGAAAGCAAAACAAAAACCCAAACCCCAGCCCATCAAACACAGAGACACAATCTGGGTGCTTTGTCCAGGCCGGCAGGTAGCTCCCCTCGAGTCCCGAGCAGGCTCTACCATCCACTGAGCCCTCAAATGCAAGATGCCCGTAGCCTTTCCCAGCTCCAGAGCAACAGCATGACTTCCACATACCAGCATGTGGTGCATAGGATGCACATCCCTGCATAGAGGGCATGTTGCCCTTCTCAAAGCCCCTTCCCCCTCCCAGCAATGCCCTGAACACCTTTCATTTAACTGGGACCTGAGGAGGCCACATTTCTGAGGGCCGAGCTGACCGCACCCTTCTCCCTGCTACCCACTGGTGCTCTTCAGGCATCTGACCCAGAGGGTGAGAGTGCCTGCCTGCTCTAGCCTCCTCTTGGGGAGCTGCTTTGGGAAAATGGCTGTTCAAGACCTCAAGTGCTACTTTCTCCCTAAATGGCTGCCAACTGCTCCAGCCTGAAGTGCATTTTCACTACTTTGAGCATCCACAGAGATTTGCCTTTAAGTGGTCTGGTGATTAATCATTTTGCTTTGTGTTATCTCTTCTAATATCCTGAACTAGTTATTCAAACCTGTATCACTATTTAACCTTTCACACACCTGTGCTGCATCTCCCCAGATTGCCAGCTCTTTAAAGGGAACAGTGTATGTCTTTGATTGTATAGCACCCATCACAGTCCACTGAACAGAAGCCCCCTCGGTATCTGCTAATCTGATCTAAGCAGAGGGAGGCCAGAGTGGCTCTTCTGGAGTGGGGAGGAGTTGGACTCCATGCGTAACTACCTGCAATCTGTGCACATCCATACCAGAGGCTCTTGGCAGGTGCCATGCAACAGAATTTCCTGGAGAACCCAGCTTTACACGTGCGAGAGGCAAGGCCCCAACCCTGGAGATCCTGATGTGCAAAGAACTACTGATTAAGACCTCACAGCTGCCAAGTATTTGGCAAGTTACACCATTGCTGTAAGTCTTTTAGCAAAAAAGGTGACAGGCCCTCTCTGAGCTCAGTTGGTGAAGCGTCACAAGCAGAGGCTTTACCTTGCAGAGTTCACTTTCTTCTCCATAAAGACTTGGCAAGAAATCTTGAAACTCAGTTAGCCTAAAGGTCTACCAAGGCTCTGCCAACATGTAGGCCTATTCCTAGGGGCCATTTCCCCTGATCACCAGGGGGAGCCAGTCCCACCAGCATGGAGGTGCTCCCAGAGCCTGGGGGACAAGGACTTCTCATCTAGGTTTTACATAGCTTTCCCTCCACAAATAGGATTTGTCCCATTTACAAAATTAAAATCCACGTGCTGAAACCTAGTTTTTCATTGACTGCTATCATATTTACTAGATATTCTGTCAGAAAGTTTTTCTCCAAAGCAGAAAAACCACAGCACAGGGTTTCCTCATACTGCAGGGTGGTTGCCAGTGGTAGTCGGCAGCCTGCTTCCTCTGTTATACAACAGGCCGCTCCAAACAGAAGCCCCGCCTCCCCGAGGAGTGTGCATGCGTGCAGCGAGCGTAGGGCTTTACTCCAGAGCAGGTGTCAAGGCTGGGAGAACCCATCCTTCCTTTGTTTTGAGTCCAGCTTTACTAAATCCATTCCCCTGAAAAACATTTTGTCAGTCACACATTTACATAAAATTCTGTGAAAGCAGAAGAAAAGATAGCCTATTTACTAAACCTCAACCTAATGATTATATTTCTTAAAACACCCCTATCTTAACTCCTGGCCCATGTCTTATTTTTCCAAAGAAAATATCCAGTGGCGGTCCACTCTCCTTCATCTCTGAAGGCCCAACACATGGACGCTCCTCTCCCCACCACGAAGCCTTTCCCAACTCTGCCACCCCCAAGCAGACTCAATTACTTCCCTCCCCAGGCCACAGCTGCACCCTATTACCGGATGCGGCACCTGACTGTGCAACCATCTGTGCAACAGTCCATCTCCTGCGGTGAACTGTGAGCTGAGGGCGGGCCCATGTCATCTTCTACCTTCTCATATTCCTACTGCCTCAACTCTGCACCTGGCACACAGCCACGGGGATGAATTAGCAGAGGAACAAACAGGGAAGAGAACAGACTGATGACTTAAATGCCCATAATAATAAAAACGATGGTACAAACTCCAAATCCAGCATTTCCCTAACAAGACTGTACAGGAGGAAATACGTAACATCAGTATTCCCTACAGGGCAAAGCCTTGAACTGTCCCTTTCAGAGTGCAGCTGCTAAGAAGCACTGCCTAACTTAACCAGTAGGAGAAAAGAGCCACACAGCACCCAAAATAAACTAATTTCTTCAGGAAAAAATTGAGATAAGCAAAAATAAACAGGCTTCCACAAGGTAAAGACGAGGAGAAATATGGAGAGCTGTTCACTGGATGTTTCCATGGGACACAGGACTGATGGAAAGCATTGAATTTATTTAAGTGATCCCCTTCTCTCAGTTTATCAGCCTGCCCTTCAGCCACTAACTCAGCTAAATCTATGTAGTGACTCCCTGGACCTCCAGCCCAGGGCCTGCGAACAGGCTCTCCGGGAAGTCTAGGAGGAGAGGAGAAGGAACAACAAAGGTGACGAATCCTCTGCGGGAACTATGTATTCATCTGGGTTGGGGAGAAGCTGGGACGGATTTCTGTTAAGAGAGTAGCCCCGAGGGCTGCTGCCCCTAGACGAGGTTCCCTCTGGGGCTTGTGAAAACAAAACTTATGACATTTAATGGAAGGCTGCTGCTCTGTGTTACAAAAATAAGGCAATGAAAAGAAAACTGAAGTGTGCAGCGTTTAAACCCAAGGATACAGATGATCTCCTTCCAAGATAAGCTGTGCTGCTGTCTTAACTGCACACAGGCATGGCTGTCAAATACAACCACAAAGTCTCGTTGAAGAAACCGGTGTCTCCACTCGGTAGTCATCAGGGAAAATGACAGAAATCAGGAACCAGAAAGGTCCCAAGCTCAGGACATGAGCACCAGTGGGGTGAAGCAAGGCGAGTCTGGAGTGGGGAGCAGCAGGGGCACCTTCAAAGGCACTTCTCTAGCTATTCTAGACCCTTCCAGTCTTGTTGATGCCTTTCATTTAAGCAGCCCACACCGCTAAGTACACTAACCTCTTGGTGCTTACCACGGTCTCCAGGCAGGAAGCGCAGCACTCTGAGCCCCCATTTGGGGAGACTAAAACCGAGAGAAACTCAAAACCTGTATATCGTTAAATGTGAACTGCCTACTCCAAACACTCTGTTCCTAATTTTCAGACCTTGCCCTTCCTTGCGGACTGATTCCAGTAAGCACCCAAAAGAAGAGCCGGAAACAAAAAACAATTATTTTTTTGTATTTGGAGAAAGGCATAATTTCAAGAAGCACTGTATTTCATATCTTAAGTTAAAGTTAATTACTCTAATAGGTGAGGTTCTCCTAACCCACTGACTTGGAAGCAGTTCCCGGAAGCTTATTAAGTACTGCTTTAAGGCACCAATCAGTCTGGGAGATGCTTGAGTCTTTCCTTTGAATTAGTGATGTGTTGAGTCAGAAATGTAAGAGTCTGAGTTCTGAACAAAGGAAAGATTCGGCAGCAAATATACAGAATAAAATAAACAATTAAAATCTGTTCAGATATTTAGAATTCTTTTAGAAATTACATCTGTGTACTCTAATATATAAACCTACTAGAGGTGGGGTTGGTGGTAGACTCGGATTTATAAACCCTGAAACATCATATAATGGGATATAACATGGCTGTTATCCCATCATATAATGGGAATTTAAGGGCTGTTAAATAGAAACACTTCCACTTATACACCCAGAGGAAAATGAAATCCTTCAAAGGTAGTTTGCCAGAGGCTTGGAATCAGTCCTAAGCAGCTTTTGATAGTGGGCCAGAAGGCCTAGGGCGGAATCCAGCAGAGCTGACTGAGCATGCTACCTGTCCTCTTTTCTTAGTAATAAAAACTTTACATATGTGTTTAACCCATTTTCATTTTTACTCAAGATGCCTGATTTTCTCTTGGGTTCGGATCAATTCTGTTTGTGCAGACCTGGGAATATTCTTCAATACTGTGATACTCCATCACTCTTGAGATGATGGCCAGTGTCAGCTCAACAGAACCAAGAGGTCAGGAACCTTTGGTAAGGCAAGAACAGGATCCTGACGATTTACAAAGACACATTTCTAGCACAATCACACCCTAGTATGCGAATACACCCCTCATCAGTCTTATATCATTACTTACTCATTTCTCTTACCTGCTTGATACTCTAGAATGAGGTGGAACTCATCCACTTCTTGCAGTGACTCTGGTGGAACAAATACACTGTCATCCAGAAGTTCATGCAGCTTTGGACCAACTGGGCCGCAAAGAAGAACCTGGGCACAAGAAATATGAAGTCTATTGGAGACTTGTCTCATCTCCCATGGAATCTGTACAGTAACTGAGAAGGTATATCCAAGCCACTTCTATTCATTTCAACAAAATAATGGAATCCAAATTATGATTTTGAAAGTTTTTGAGGGAATGACAAAAGAACCATGTCATGTATGTTAGACAAGTACCTACACAGCTGACTGCCATACACCCATAAGGGAATGAGTGTTTATGTCCCCCCAAAACCCACCTGCTGAAGCCTCACTGCTGTGTGCTGGTGTTTCCATAGGGCTTTTAGGAGGTAGTTAAAGGAGATTCTGGGGGTGGTCTTAATCATGTAGTCCAGTGGGCCTTCGGAGGAGTGGAAGAGAGCCGCCCCTTCCCCCACTGCCACGACTGAAGGAAGGCCACGTGAGGACACAGTGGGAAGGAAGCAGCCCTCGCCAGAGACTGAGCCATGGGAACTGGAGCCTGGACTTTCAGCCACCAGCACTGAGGTGTGAGGAAGGGGTCACCTGCTCTTCAAGCTACCCGGTCAGTAGCACTGTGTCACTACGGCGGCCTCAGCAGACTTGGAAAACCCTACCCGACCTTCCTTTCTTTGCCGACTCAGATTCTGTGTAGGCAGACAGACGGGGGATGCGTCTGCTTGAAGCTGCTGGATTACAACAGCTTTTGAATTTGACACAGTACAGAAAGGAGTCTCAGGGTCACAACAACCCCCGCCAGCCAGGTGACCAAATCTGTGGGCTCAGGCTCCCTCCTAAACTTACCTGCCACGTGAAAAGGATAGCTTTCCAAACATGAGAACTAAAGAGCATCTCAATTCAGAAAGCCTCGAGGGAGGTGCTCGGCAACTTTTCCAAAACCTTTCCTTCAACTCCAAATTTAACTGAAGGCCCTCTCTGGCTGTTCCTCCTAGAAGCCACCTCACATCTGCTGCCTCTGCCGTGCCGGTTCTGGACACCACTCACAGCCAGGCCAACGGGCTTAAAACCGCCGAACAATGCGGGTTTGGCCTGGGACTTAAAGGAAGTTCCCAGAGAGACCATCGAAAGTATTTCAGATTCAATATGCCCAATCCAGAAGCTTCAAAAGACAGTCTTACTTACTAATTAACTGCTTGTTTGTACAGAGGCTCTTTTATGTATCTAAGATATCCCAGCTTCTAGGTGAAAACACACCTTCTTTCCCTTTCTGCCTTGACCCTTCCTCCCCTTTCATGCCCATCAGTTGCCAGTTGTAAAAAGTCTTATCTCTACCATTTTATTTCTTTTCTCTAACTCCTGGCTTGAACTTTAGTTTCCAGATAAGACAAGGGCCAGATTTACCCTCTTGCCTGAGACAACAACAAAAACAGACAAAACACATGAAAACAATGGTTTTCAAAACATCTGGATGAACTGGAGCCTGGACTTTCAGCCACCAGCACTGAGGTGTGAGGAAGGGGTCACCTGCTCTTCAAGCTACCCGGTCAGTAGCACTGTGTCACTACGGCGGCCTCAGCAGACTTGGAAAACCCTACCCGACCTTCCTTTCTTTGCCGACTCAGATTCTGTGTAGGCAGACAGACGGGGGATGCGTCTGCTTGAAGCTGCTGGATTACAACAGCTTTTGAATTTGACACAGTACAGAAAGGAGTCTCAGGGTCACAACAACCCCCGCCAGCCAGGTGACCAAATCTGTGGGCTCAGGCTCCCTCCTAAACTTACCTGCCACGTGAAAAGGATAGCTTTCCAAACATGAGAACTAAAGAGCATCTCAATTCAGAAAGCCTCGAGGGAGGTGCTCGGCAACTTTTCCAAAACCTTTCCTTCAACTCCAAATTTAACTGAAGGCCCTCTCTGGCTGTTCCTCCTAGAAGCCACCTCACATCTGCTGCCTCTGCCGTGCCGGTTCTGGACACCACTCACAGCCAGGCCAACGGGCTTAAAACCGCCGAACAATGCGGGTTTGGCCTGGGACTTAAAGGAAGTTCCCAGAGAGACCATCGAAAGTATTTCAGATTCAATATGCCCAATCCAGAAGCTTCAAAAGACAGTCTTACTTACTAATTAACTGCTTGTTTGTACAGAGGCTCTTTCATGTATCTAAGATATCCCAGCTTCTAGGTGAAAACACACCTTCTTTCCCTTTCTGCCTTGACCCTTCCTCCCCTTTCATGCCCATCAGTTGCCAGTTGTAAAAAGTCTTATCTCTACCATTTTATTTCTTTTCTCTAACTCCTGGCTTGAACTTTAGTTTCCAGATAAGACAAGGGCCAGATTTACCCTCTTGCCTGAGACAACAACAAAAACAGACAAAACACATGAAAACAATGGTTTTCAAAACATCTGGATGCCGGGAAAGGACAGTGATCCCTAACAAACAGAAAAAATTGAGTAAGCCCTACAAATGCCCCAGGAAAGAGTTTCCAGATATGCAAAGTCTGAAATAATTCACCAGCAGCAGCAGATGTGCGCTACAAGAGATGCTAAAGCAGATCCTTCAGGCACTAGGAATAAAATGATACCAGATGGAAATACAGATCTAAACAAAGGAAGAGCGCCAGAAATGGCTACTGGACAAGTACATAAGGTCTTTTTACATTTAAATCTCTTTAAAAGATAATTATCTATAGAACAATATTAACAACATAGTAAGAGGCTTATAACATATGCAGAAGTAAACCGTATGACAATAATCGCATAAACACTGGAGGGGAGAAAAGGAGGCACACTATGTAAAGTTCTTACATTGTAAGTGGTGGGTGGTACAGTATCACCTGAGAGCAGAATGTAGTAAGCTAAAATGTACACATAGACCTTAAAGCAATGACTCAAATAACAAAGAATTATAGCTAATAAGCCAGAGAAGGTAAAAAGAATGCAGAAAGAAGAAAAAGGGAAGATAAAAAGGTGGGACAAACAAAATAAACGGCAAGATGTCACATTTAAACCTAACCTCAATAATCACAATAAATGTAAATGGCCTAAACAGCCCAATTAAAAGATATTGTCCAAGTAGATTAAAAAGCAAGCCCCAACTATATGCTGCCTACAAAAAAAATTTTACATATAAAGATGCAAATAGGTTAAAAACAGGATGGAAAAAGATAAATCATGCTAACAATAATCAAAAGAAGATGCTGCAATAGCTATTTTAATCAAAATAGATTTCAGAGCAAAGAACATGATGAAATAATTTTCTTTATCCCTAGTAATGATAAAGGGGTCAATTCATGAAGGGTATATAATGATCCTAAACAGTTATGCACCTCATAACGGCTTTAAAGTATATGAAGTAAAAACTTTTTGAACTGCAAGGGAAACAGACAAGTCCACAATTATGGTTGGAGATGTCAATACCCCTCTTTCAGTAACTGATAAATTAGAAAAACCAGTAAGAATATAGACTTGAATGACACTATAAACCAATTGGGCCTAACTGGCATTTATAGAACACTCACCCAACAGCAGCAGAAAATGACATGCTTTTCAAGTGCATGTGTAACTTCACTAAGATACACCATATTCTAGGCCAGAAAAAAAGTCTCAATAAATTTAAAAGGAGTCAGAAAGGCATATTCTCTGCCTACAATGTAATAAAAGCAGAAATCAATAACAGCAAGATATCTGTAAAAACCCCAAATATTTAGAAACCAAGTAACACTTCTAAATATCCATGGATGGGTTATAAAAATAGCCCACTCAAGAAATCACAGGGAAATCAGAAAGCAATTTGAACTGAATGAAGAGAAAAATACAATGTATCAAAATCTGTGGGATGTAGCTAAAGAAGTACTGAACAGGAAATTTATAGCACTAAACAGCTATATCAGAAAACATGAAAGGTTTCAATTAATGCCTCAGGTTCTACCTTAAGAAACTAGAAAAGAAGAGCAATTAAACTCAACATAAACGGAAATCAATTAAATAGAAAAGAGAAAAATTAGTGAAACCAAAAGCTTGATAAAGATCAAAACTGATCTCTAGTCAAACTGATCAAGAAAATAAAAAAGACAATGTAAATTACCAGTATGAGGAATGAGAGAACATTACATATTCTACAGATCTTAAAAAGATAAGAGAATATCATGATTAATTTTATTATCAAAAAATTCAACAATGTAGACAAAATGGACAAATTCCTTGAAAGATAAAACTACCAAAGCTCACTCAAGAAAGAGAAAGTCTGAATTTCTATCTGTTGAAGAAATAAAATATGTTGTTAAAAATCTTCCCACATCAAAATTTCAAGCCTAAAGGGCTTTACAGGTGTTCTACGCTTAAGTTATCATGTTCAGTAACTGATAAATTAGAAAAACCAGTAAGAATATAGACTTGAATGACACTATAAACCAATTGGGCCTAACTGGCATTTATAGAACACTCACCCAACAGCAGCAGAAAATGACATGCTTTTCAAGTGCATGTGTAACTTCACTAAGATACACCATATTCTAGGCCAGAAAAAAAGTCTCAATAAATTTAAAAGGAGTCAGAAAGGCATATTCTCTGCCTACAATGTAATAAAAGCAGAAATCAATAACAGCAAGATATCTGTAAAAACCCCAAATATTTAGAAACCAAGTAACACTTCTAAATATCCATGGATGGGTTATAAAAATAGCCCACTCAAGAAATCACAGGGAAATCAGAAAGCAATTTGAACTGAATGAAGAGAAAAATACAATGTATCAAAATCTGTGGGATGTAGCTAAAGAAGTACTGAACAGGAAATTTATAGCACTAAACAGCTATATCAGAAAACATGAAAGGTTTCAATTAATGCCTCAGGTTCTACCTTAAGAAACTAGAAAAGAAGAGCAATTAAACTCAACATAAACGGAAATCAATTAAATAGAAAAGAGAAAAATTAGTGAAACCAAAAGCTTGATAAAGATCAAAACTGATCTCTAGTCAAACTGATCAAGAAAATAAAAAAGACAATGTAAATTACCAGTATGAGGAATGAGAGAACATTACATATTCTACAGATCTTAAAAAGATAAGAGAATATCATGATTAATTTTATTATCAAAAAATTCAACAATGTAGACAAAATGGACAAATTCCTTGAAAGATAAAACTACCAAAGCTCACTCAAGAAAGAGAAAGTCTGAATTTCTATCTGTTGAAGAAATAAAATATGTTGTTAAAAATCTTCCCACATCAAAATTTCAAGCCTAAAGGGCTTTACAGGTGTTCTACGCTTAAGTTATCATGCCAATTCTACATAAAACTCTTTTTTAAAATTTGAAATACATTCCAACTCATTCTATAAGGTATTTTACCCTGATACCAAAACCAGACACACATACAAGAAAAATACAGACCCATATCCCTCGCAGAAACTGATGCAAAAGTTTTAAGCAAAATTCTAGTAAATCAAATCCAACAATATATCAAACATATCAGAACCATGTGGGATTTATCCCAGGGATGTGAGGTCAGTTTAACATTCGAAAATCAATGTAATTACCATATACCAAATTAAAAAACAAAAATCGTACAATCATCCCAATAGATGCAGAAGTAGCATTTGACAAAATTCAACATCTACTTCTAATTCTTGGCTAAATTCCACAAATATATTTTCTAAAGACCTTGTTTTGCCTCTGCAATTTGGCTTCTATTCCAATAAATGTGCCTTTCTTATATCCATCAGCGTCTATTTTGAGACATGATACAGTATTAAGAGTACGGACTCTGGAGCTGCAGCACTTGGGTTCAAACCCCAGCTCCACCCCTTCCTAGGTATGTGACTTTAGATAGTTTTACTTCGTGCCTCATTTTTCCTTTCTACAAAATGGAGATAATAAAAGACCTCCCTTATGTGGCATTGTGAGATTAAATGAGTTAATATATATGTAAAGCACTTAAACAGCGCCTGGCATAAGTAAGGGCTACATAAGTGCTGGCTATTATTGTTGTTATTATTACCTCTGGAAAATACCTAGTCCTTAATCTCTCATCATTCTCAGATGATTACTCAGTCCCTGTAGAGAAGCATTTAACAAGTTAAACTGAATCTCTTTGAGAAAGCAGCAAAGGGTGGTGAGGTCATGGCAGAGCCTGGCATTTGAATCCTGGCTGCATCATTTACTGGCTAGGTGACCTTGGGCACATTGGTTAACCTCTCTGGACCTCTTTTCTCACGTTTAGAAGGTGATAATTTTCAAGCTGTTGATCATCTACTTGTATTTCTGGGTCCATCCCTGGGATTTTGATTCTGTGCCAACCCACATACTGGCTTTCAGGTTTTCTCCCTGACACCAGAGGGCTGTTTATGGTTCTTTCTGTCACCAGTAGCTCTATCTAGTCTGCACTTCGCAAGTCTGTTTACTCTGGAATCATATCTGTCAAGTCTGTGCTCTCTGTCTTCTCGTATGCTCTGCACCAAATGAGAGCCTGTTCACAGGCTTTAGATGCGTGCTGCTCCTCCTCTTATGGCTCCTCTACTCCAAACCTTGATCATTTTACAGTAGGAGAACAGCAGTGAGCTTCTCACTGCCTCCCCCACACCTACTCCACTCATAGCAAATGATGAACCTTCTTACTCACATGTTATTTTGAACACAGCACTTCAAAAGTTCCTCCTGGCCTTCATCTAGTGGCCTTTGCTTTTCAGCACTATGGACCCAGGCTCACAATACAGCTAACTATGTTCCATCATTGTATAATCCTGTCTCAGGTACTATCTCCAGAACCCACATACTCTTAACCACTACACAGTACAGTTTTAAGAACATGGGCCCTAGGATCCTAGGTTAGAATAGTTCCACCTCTGATTAGCTGTGAACCTCTCTATGCCTCAAGTTTCATGTTTTACAAGTAAGACAGTAACAGTGCCAAAGACAGCACCACCAGCCTTACTGGTTGTTGCAAGGATTCAATGAGATAATCTATGTACGGCACTAAAAACAATGTCAGGCGCATTGTAAGTGCTCAGAAATCATTAGCTATTACTGCTTTCCTACTACTATGGTGCTTTCTAACAAGAGGCCCCAGCATCTAGCACATTCATACTAGGTGGTCTGTAAGTTGACTCAAGGAATAGACATTCATTCATTCATTCTTACCCCTAAAAGTATTGAAACTCTAAGTGAAAGGCACAGGTTTTAATTCGGGAATTTGACCTACCTTTAAATCTGAGTTGGTTGCAAATTTCTGTCCAATCAGAGCTGCATTTCCTCCTACATAGTGCTGCAAGATAGTTCAAGGTTACTAGACAGTATTTGAGCCAGCTATGTTACCCAAGGTTAATAATTTTTAAATTTATCAAATTAATTTCTGGCCCATGTTTTCCCAAAAAGTCTTGAGGTGACTTTACAATGACACACAGATGAGGCTAATAAAAATCATAAACACCATAGGTTAACAGACAATCCAGTCATAAGGAAACAGGTAAGTTATAAGGAGGAGTTAAAAAAAAATATATATATATATATATGCCAGCCATGAAAATTAGTATAATTGCTTTAACCATAGATCAAAGTTAGCCTGCAGCTTCTAAGTAGCCAGAACAGGTAAAGGACAAATGAAAAGTATGGATAGATGTTATCTTCTACACCATAATCCTACTAAAACAAGTATATGATTCGGTGACTCTCCTCCTAGAATTCATTCCATAGATTCTATAATGAACTAAAATCTAACTCCTGAGTGAGGCACACACAGGTCATTCTTTATCTGACCCCTGCTTCCCTTTCTACCTTCATCTCCTGCCTTCCCTTCTGCATCATGCCTGCAGTTCTCCAAGCCTGCTTTCCTCTCTGTCTGCCTTCAGCACACGCCATTTCCCTCCCTTAGGATACCTGCCCTTCCCAAGCTCTGGCAAATCGTTACTTCTCAGCAATCAGCTGCAGTGTCACCTCTTCCGAAATGTTTTGTTCCCCTCCCCCACTGCCTTCTCAGACTCCTATGCTCAACAGACCTCTACTACAGCCCTTGCCCATGTGGGCTATTACCATCCGGGTGCAGAACTTGCTCCTTCAGGGCAGGTGCTGTCTGTCTTACAAGAAGAGGTTGGTTGCTAAATTTTGAGAAAGGAAGAAACACTCTGATGTGATAGAAATTCCTTTCTCAAAATCTGGCATAAATCTAAAGGTGATAGACGCTAATAGAGGGCAATGCTGTCTCCTAAACACCGCACCTCTCAGCTGGAAACGGGCAGCAGAGAGCAGATAATTGAAGGCTGGTATGCCACATCGCTAAGGATGGGTTCATGTGCTTTGAAAACTGACAAGTAGGAGGCAAGGCTGATGTTCTGTTACCGATGTTGAGAAGCCTACATAATCTTGCCTGGGTAGAACGAGACTACCCCATCTTCCCGGTCTTCAGCCTCCTGCAGAGGCACAGACTAAACAGACAATTCCAGATGCTAAACCTCACTTTTACCCCCACAGTTTGTACTGACCAATCTCTGGATTCAGTTGAACAGTAACAGCTCGGTATAGGCAAATTAAAAACTTTTTGTGATAAAACAGCTGAAATTTGGTCTTTTGACATGTTAGCTTTAATTTTTTTATTTAACTATAATGTCTAAAAGAATTTACTGTAAGTCTTGGGGAGAAATATTAAGATTTTTTTTTTACTTATTTTTATTAAGGTATGATTGATATACACTCTTATGAAGGTTTCACATGAAAAACAATGTGGTTACTACATTTACCCATGTTACCAAGTCTCCACCCATACCCCACTGCAGTCACTGTCCATCAGTGCAGGAAGATGCCACAGATTCACTATGTGCCTTCTCTGGGCTACACTGTTCTCCCTGGGATCCCTCACACCATGTGTACTAAACATAATACCCCTTAATCCCCTTCTCCCTCCCTCCCACACCCCTCCCCTTTGGTAGCCACTAGTTCATTCTT